CTCTTAGCAGACATTCTGTTGGGAATGAAACTAACACCTTCTGTGTCTATGCATTGTGATTGCCAAGCAGCAATAGCCATTGCAAAAAATAAAACTTTCAATGGTAAAAATAGACACATCAGTTTAAGACATGATATAGTAAAGCAGCTGCTTAGAGATGAAATTATATCCATTAATTATGTGAAGTCAGAGCTGAATTTGGTCGATCGTCTAACTAAACTCTTGGGAAGAAAGTTAATTAATGCTACCTCGAAAGGAATAGGACTTAAGCCAAATGAGAAAATCAACAAATAATGGTAATCCAACCTATGTGATTGGAGATCCTATGAATTAGGTTCATATGGGTAATAACAGTTATTTGTTCATAAATTAATGCACTGTTAAAATAATTGTCCCTCCTATGGTGTGAGTAGTGCAAAACTGCAATGCAAGAGAGATTGAGCTAAACTCTTAATGTATTCCATATTCCTTATGGGTAGTGTATTATATTGCAGTATACACTTGATGGAATCAACCTATATAAGTGTGGAGTGGGGCCATTCCTATGAGAATTATGACAAATTCTGTAGAGCACTTATGAATAACTAGGCACGCGCATGGCCTATTAGAGTAAAACCGTGTTGAACAGCAGAAATTGTAAAGGTGTAATGTGATTGATGAAAACTATATTTCACATAAAGAATTTTGGTTCATATAAGTTACAAACTTCACCAAAATTTTGTGACTTATGTTTCATTCTTTCTAAGGGTGGTTCATAGCTTAAAAAGCACCAGTCACGATGCATTATACTAAAATGAAAATTTGACCTAGCAAAACTTCTTATAAAACCTTATGAAATATGTGAGGGATTGTTGAAAAATAGAATATTTCATAAGGTTCAAACATCCCACATTGCCAAGATACTTAAAAGCTGAAGGTTTTATATATGAAAACACTCTATTGGCTTGTTGCAAGTCAGGAAAACAGAGTGGGCTCGCGCGCGCACATAAGGTTGGGCCAAATCTTAAGAAATCTCAAATTTGTCCTTACGAGCGAATATACACGATGGGCTGTACCCAGGTGAACTTTTGTACCTTGGCATTAATTTTTCTACCTACCTTACCTGGATATGCTCCAACGTTTACTGAGTCTCCAACAGTACCTTTTGGCATTAATTTTTCTACCTACCTTACCTGGATATGCTCCAACGTTTACTGAGTCTCCAACATTTATCTGACTCGGTGAATAGCTGACCAAGTTTTTCTCTAACTCTTGAGTGTTTTTCTCAACTCCCTAATCTGGTTTAACATGCACCAAAATGCTCCAACGTTTATCTGACTCAGTAAATAGTTGACCAAGTTTTTCTTTAACTCCTAAGTGTTTTTCTCAACTCCCTAATCTGGTTCAACGTGCACCTTATTTGGTGCAACGTTCACCTTATTTTGTGTAACGTTCACCTCACTCCATACTTATAAATACAGCCTCATACTTTCATTCTTAAAACACACAAAAAGCTTATCAGCTTCCAAGCTTTCTTTGCTTCCTTCTTCGCCTCTTTCCTTCGATAGCTGGGTTTTTCTTTTTCTGCTGTTCCTGTTCATCCCTTAATAGTTTGTGCAAACTACTAAAGAAAAGTCTATTGAATCCTGGAGGATAACCGGTACAGTCCTTTTGCACTGAGTTTCATATTTCGAAGAGGTGAAAATTATCCTTAAAGACAGTGATCCGACGCCTCAGACTTCCTCTTACTATTATTTCTCGTTTTCTATAATCACCTACTACAATTACTATCGAACAAAGTGTTAAAATCCCCTCCAATAATCCTCGGAGCTTGCAGCTGATCAAAGATACTTTTTAATTCGCCTAAGCATAACTCGTCCTGCTATCCCTCGAGCATTCTATATTAGGCTATTAATCATGGATATAAAAAAGAATTTGATTCTTGGAAGCATACCTGCCATCCTGCCTTATGTTTCGTTGTTCAGTCTCACTATAATCATCATCTGAATTAGACTCAACATCCTAAGGAGTCGATGGGATATCACTGGTTGATTTCCTACGCCTTTCCTTGGAGGGATGAATTTCTAATTCCTGACTTGAATTAGCTACAGAAGAAGAGAAGAAAAACTTTTCATGTTAGTACCACAATCTGCCAACTCAATTTCCTTTTCCAATGTCTGATTATTGTTCGTGCGAAAGCTAGATAAATTTTGCATGGGAATCCGTATATATTCCTCTTCATTTTCCTGTTTAATTTTAGCCTTGTCACTGATTTTTTGCAGTGGTAAGGAACTTTCTTCTCGGCTGGAGGATACCTTCTGTGTTTCAACCTGAGATGAGTCCAACTTATTTTTTGCTCTCCCAGTTTTATTTTTTCACTTGGTAAAAGGGCAGCAATACCATGCACTGCTTGCATGTGAGCCCCAACCCCTGAGTTAGTCAGTTCCTCCCCAGGTTTGGAAGAAAAATCTCCATTCTCCTCCTGCACCTTAGAATCAACTCCTTTTCCAATTTTTTTAGTTTTTCTGCTCCTTGTGATATTCATTGATTTTTCTAGAGCCCATTGCAGCATAGCTTCTTCAACATTTTCCGCCATAATGCTTGAAGAGGTTTCCACACTATCATCACTTGAAGTACCTATACCGTCATTACCTTCATGCTGCACACTAGAATCCTTCATCTTATCTTTCATTTTTTTAGCTTCAGGAGCAGTTTCAATATTCATCATTTTTTCTTGCTTCTCACCCCCTTTTACACGACTGGCAGCTTCCAAAATTGGGTCTGACTAACCTTTTCCATTAGCTGCCAATTGACTATCATTTTTAACGGCCACGTAATTTTTCTTTTCACCATTTGGCATTTTAACTCCTGTTTTTCAGCCACGTTCCTTTCTTTTTGCATGCCACCCAACTGATTTTTCAATACCAAAGAATTCTTCACCTCTCGTACATTGTTCCTCTCTTTTCCCATGCCATTGGCAGTGGCTTCATCAACAAACAAAGGCCTTCCTATCGTTTTTGCAATTGTCAAAAGAGCCGATTTCTCAAATAAATGAGCCTGTGGATTTGGAAAAGAGATCCACACCGCGACAAGCGAGGGTTCTTTTTCTGGGTGGAAATCCAGTGTCCACTTAAAGGTTCTCGTCTTCTGGCTGGAGATGAACTAGATTTGCTTCGTTCAAATCCGTGTAAAGTCCTGCTCATTAGAAAGGTTGATGAGAATGTGTTTGTAATCCAACCATCGAATATTATAAAGACCAGCGAGGCCTATTCCAGTGAAAGCTTTCGGATCTCAGTCAACTGTGACATTTTAGAAAACTTTCTAATAACAGAGTATTTGGAAGGCTGTGCAAGGGCTTCGATCTCATCTTCAAAGAACATGGCAGCCGGTCTGTCTTTGTAACATGCAGGGCTATGTGATGCTGAAATCAAGGGAGGTTTTTCTCCAACAGCTATTGACAGGAATGACTTTTTGAGCGCACGGGGTGAAATAGGGGCTGGTATTGTGGTCTGCATGCCTTGCGGCAAAGCTTCAAAGGTTAGTGGCTAGGTTGATTTTGCTGCTGTAAGTATGGGGTTGGATGCTGCCAGTCTTGGGATGGAAGGAGAAATGACGGGTGATTGGTGGAGGGGTCCGGCGGCCAAACCATGGGTAGAAGCAAGGGGAGCAAAATCGGCTTGGTTGTGAATATTTTGATACGAAATAAGTGAAAACAAAATAATATTATTGTTTTGTAATCAATTCTTATTTATCATTTTCACGCACAACAAATAGATAATGAAAAATATTTTTTATTAAATAATAAAAAATACTTTCAACAATTAATTTAAATAATACAAAAAATTACATTTTTTAAAAAATATTTTACCCACAATAATTATTTCTCAACATATTTTTCGATTAACAAACATACTCTAAATTGTTCCTTGCTTCCTTATTCTTTTCTAGAATTCGTTTCTTCCTCCATTTTTTACGATTGGTCCTTCCACGCATTTACAAAAAGAAGAAAAAATAACCATTCTTCTGCATTTAAAGATGCATTTGACGGCCTTGAGTTTCAAACAATGCAGTTGCAGTGTCCTTGCCCCTTTTTGGTTACCATTACATCCCTTTGCGCTTAGATTTTCTTTAATGTCATGGCTTTCTTTCCTTCCCACCTCGAGCCAGGACCTTCGTGCACATGATTTTCAAATAAAACAATACAAAAAATAAAAAATAAAAGAAAAACTAGACAACAACCCAAAATCCAAAATCGAATGCACCTTACTCAAATCAAAAGGTCCTCTTTCAATTTTCCAATTAGCCTTTTCAAAATCGATTTCACTTTTTTTTTTTCTTTTCCAAAACCAGTTTCTCTTTCTGTTATGTTTTGAAAATCGATGTTTCTTTTTCTTTTTCAATGCGTATAAAATGTCACATTAAGTTTAAAGATGGTAAATTTCCGTCAAGATAAAGAGTTTATTTGATTATCAAAACTTTAAAGTTTCTTTAGGTATTAATAAAAGGTGAGGGTTTTAGTTGAAAAATTGATCAAAAATTTTACATGTTTTTCTTTTCACTATTTAACCCTAAAAAATAATTAGAAATAGGCTAGAATGAGATCTGTTTTAGACTTTAATTAAGTAAATCAAAGATATAAAAATAGGATAATCGAGTTGTTCCTGGGTGCGAGAGCTCCATGAAAAGGAGCCTGCAGCCTGCTTGCCATTATGCCTAACGGACAAAATTCAAGAAATGTTTCAACAGTTTAACTACTTAAGCCATGGAAAGAATATTTTCTCCAAATTTTTTCTAAAAATCAATTATGAGAATGTTACAGTAATCAAAGAGAGCAAACAAATATTGATTTGAACAAAAATTATTTAGAATCAGTATTTAATTGCTCCCTAAATAGCCATCTTCAACATCTTGGGAAAAAGTCAACTGTTGCCGGTGCATAACATGTTGTTTCTTGCACCATTTCAATTTGGTTATCTGATTGGTGACCATCCCATATAGAACAGGAACCACACCATCATGAATAGATATGAAAGAACACTTTTCAATATCACGAGAATATTATTTGGAATTAGGTTCTTGCATCTTACAAATTGCATTATACAGAGGATAACTCTATGGTACACGATGTTTGGCGATGGTGCAAAACATACAGAGTGAATAAATCTTAAATATCCAAAAGCGGGGGAATGAACTGAGAAGATGTTTAAGCCCACCATGGAGCCTCACCAGTTCTGAAATCTGTTTCGACCCATGGGACAAAGACTACCTTCCCATCATCCACATCAGCATGAGCCAATGCCAAGGACTGTTCCAACAAAGACAATACAATTGGTCATTATAAATAAAGAATGAGATAAGAACACAACAAAAGAAAAATGATGGACAACATATTTTGAGAAGAAAAATTAGAATGTACAAACTTTTGACTACTGCACTAAAATGCACGTTTGCACTTGTTTGGCAATGAGATGAGATCTGTTCAATTATTAGGGTGCAGTAAGTTTCGCGTTTCTGGAAGATTAACTCCCAAGTATAATGTCAATCATGACAGATTTACCTATTCTGCGATCCTTTAATACCATGCCCAAATTTTCTTAAAGTAGAAGATCAGTGATATAACCGAAATGTATACTTTTCCCTCTTAATCTCACTCACCAGGGGGGCAGGTCCTCTCACAACTCTTCCTTGATCGTTGTACTGAGATCCATGGCAGGGGCATATGAATCTGTTCTCAGCTTGATTCCATGGAACAACACATCCAAGGTGTGTGCAGACGGCATTTATACCATATGTTGCAAGAGTTTTGTCTTTCTCAACCACTAGGTAGGTCGGATCTCCCTGAAATTCATAAATAATCAAAATGCCTTTCAAATTCACTTTTTTTTTAGAACATCCTGATATTAGAATGCTTGAAAACTGATTCTTCTTATATAACAAAAAAGAAAAAAAAAGAAGCTAAAATCTAAATTTGCCTTTCCAGTTTCATATGCCTCTTTTGTAAGAGAACCATACATCACTACTAAAATCTTACAATATGACATTGGCTACAGAATCGACATTCATAATACGGTTACTACTCTTATTAATGTCTTATCATGCCAAACATTAACAAGAGGCTAACAACCTCAACATAAAAGAAGATTGAGCTCAAGCAATTACAAGCATAACTCATCTTCACAAAAGTCACCATTCACCACCAAAACCTTGCATATAGTGCTTACATGGGAAAATATTTCCTAGAAGAAACCACAGCTCTTAAATTTTTCACGTTAACTGCTCTTTGGATGATCTTTGACATTCGCTTAGAACAAATTGTGATTAACATCCTACACTTACCTTCAATCCTTGAGTCAGAGTTCGGTCTCCAGGGCCATGGGTCTTAAGCCATTCGGTAGCAATGATGTCATTTCCAATTGCGTCCTTGGCAACAGTACCCTCGCCAGCACCTAGCCCACTGGTGTTGCATTTTAGCAAAGGTTTAATCCAATTAGATATAATGAGATTGCCCACCAAGTCAAGAGCAATCTTTTTGATGAAAGTTTATTGACATATTTAGACCAAAAACCAGTGACATGATTTATAAGTCCATATTTGATGGCTTGATGCAAATAAGTTAAATGGCTAAGTTCTCTATGGCTTCAGATATGCTCACAAAAGAAATATAGGGGCAATTGTAATTTACTATATTAGAATACCAGCTAGCTATGATGGGGAATTTGGCTCAATTAAATTCGGGGGCCATAAATCAGTTTGGGAGGTCAATTGGGTGGAAAACACTTAGGTAACTAGTATGGGAGAAACCAATTTTCGGCTTCTCCTCATGTAAAACACTACCACAATCATGTTGCTCCTGTCTTGACTTTAGCATATTTTCAAGGGTACTTAAGGTGAATTTATCACTTCAAAATTCATATGCTAATAGTTGAAACTTAAATTTGACTAACAAGTACCTTTTCCTACCAAAATGCAATCAATCAGTTTTAAGGATCAGATGAATCATCTTAAGGCATTAATATCACCACTCTCATTATCAATAAAGTTAAATAATACTATTATTAAAGGAACTCAACAAGGAAAGAGGAGGAGACCTTACCCAGGTGGGACAAAGAAGGCCCCATAAGGAACCAACATGAAACCTGTGGGGAGTGAAACAGTCCCCAACAGAAGCAGATTCATGAGCTGCCTCTTGCCCATGTCTGGCACTCTATCATCAGCGGGAATGCTGGTGGCCTGGCATGTGAGTCTCATTCCCTTGTCCTTTTTAACCATCTGGGACCTTGTTGGTTTCACCAGGAGAGCTTGTGATGTGCAGAACAAGCCACTCTTGCTGGAGCATAGCTGTTAAAAAGGAAAATTCAAGCAAAAGTTGAGTTTAGAGTTTCGAAGAAGGATTTTGCAAAGTAATTTAACCAATTACAACTGTTGGGATATATATACCTGCGAAGAAGCTGCAGGGGAGAGAGTTGAGGAAGCCATGATAGAAGATAGTGGGTGCTGTGCTGAACCTGTCGGCTTGTGTTCTCCATCTGATATTCTGGAGAAGACCCAAGCTATAACGACCACAACACCAAGGAGATAAGGCGCGTTGCAAGTTATGGTGCCACATAAGCCACACATGTTTGGGGATCATGCTTGTCTTCTTTGCAAGTGGCTCATCCCAGTCTTGGGCCTAGTCCAAACACTCTCAAAGTTGAAGACTTTACTCTCTGTCACGTCAACCGGGTTCGTGCTCCAACTTAGTGGGCTAAAAACAAGAAGCTTAGCTTCCCGAAGGCTGCTTCTAGCCTAGCCTGTTTTATTTTATTTTAAACTTTTACTTTGCCAAGGAAAATCTGTTTTTGAAAGGCTGGCCTTGTGCATATAGAGCTGCGGAAAAGGAAAAAAAAAGAAAACAAAGTGGTTAACTTTGGAGTAGCAATGACAAGTTCACATAAAACTTTTCAATTGAATTAAAATTACCTTTTCAATGTTTCTTGATATTTTGTTTATATGATTAAATCATGTTAAGATCCAGCTTAGATGGCTCAAGGGACATTGTTGATGCCTGGGATTAACTGCTTTGCTTCTGGGCCGAACTGGTCTAATCTCATCTGTTCCTGATCCCCTTCCGTGTTGTGCTTCATTATAGTATTCACCTAGCTTTGATTCATTTTCAGCTTGCTTTATCAGCTTATTGATTTATACATCTTTTTGGGATAATTGAAATTTCATTAATCATCAAAAAATAAGCAGGAGCACCTGCTTTTGACGTACAAAAATGGCAAACCCTAAACAGTTTATTAATTTCATAACTGGTCTGCTTTTCTGAGATCAGAATTACAGTGACACTCCGCTGAGGCTTGAGTATTTCATGGCTACATTTCTTGCTTTGTGAGATCAGAATTAGTTCCACTCAGCCGAGGGTAAAAACGAATACCTCTACTGGGTGCATGGTCAACTGCATCAATTTGAGGCCATATTTTTGTCTCTGATGCGGCGTTACGCTAATTTCAGGCCGCTTGTTCCTTAGCATCATATGTTTACAAGTTGTACATATGCTGAATTTGTTCAGTTCCCTTAAATTTTGCTTCTTGAAACATTATATTATGTGACAAAAACTTCTTATAATATAACAAATTCAAAGAACCCATCATTTGAATTAAATGAAGTGAAGTCAACAAGTTTATGGGCGGAGATATATTTATTTTTTGTGCATCATAATAAAAAAAACAGTTCGATTCTTTATTTTCTATTCAACTATTGAATTATTAGAATGAAAGAAAAAAAAAATTGAAGGGTAACTTTTTTTTTGTGAAAGATGAAAGGTAACTGATCTTTAACAACTTTTGCTTCGTATTGGTCCTTTAATTATGACCCCACTTTATAAGATTACACCCGTCTATCCTTAAAGTGTTAGCTAGTGAGATAGAGATAAATCATAATTACTAAAAAGGTTTACAAATAAAAGTGTTCAAAGATAAAACTATCTGACAAAGTTTGAGAAACCGACTTGACTTGGATATAGATTTTTAGATTCAAACTCAGTTCAACTGGACTTGATTACATTGTTTTATAAATAAATAATATGTTTTTATTTAATTTTAATTTTAAACTATATTTTAAAATATTAAAATATTAAAATAAAATAAATCAGCAAAGAGGATTGGAAGTCCAAACTTAACTTTGAACATGAAATGTTTGATAGCCTCCGTATGATCCGTGGAGATCACTATTCATAATAGTCGAAGGGGTTAATTTTGGGTTGGCCTTATCACAACTTCGTCACCGGACCATAGTTGAGATTGGGCTTAATCTTGAGAACCTTATACAGATGAACATATCAAACCTAAGGTTTATTTTGGATTGTAAATATTTGAGTGGCACATGCTTAGTGTCATAAGCCAACTTATGTATAAGGTCATGATGAGATAGAACTGTCTACGAGACTGAGTTGCTTTAAGGGCAAATGTTTTCATTTCAAACAATAAAATGTTACTTGATAGTGTACTTATAAAAGTTTGTTAAGCCTTTAAGAAAAAAACCCTTGAGGGAAAGAATGTCTTCATTTTATGCATTATAATGATTTGTGATAGTATAGGTGTAAAAGCTTATTAGTTCTGTGTAGAAGTAAACAGTTGGTAAATTGTTGGGCTACTATACTAGTTAAGATATGTTTGTGACTAACTATTTAGGGCTACCCATACAGCTCAACAATTGTGCATTTATACTTTCAATTCCTTCGTATTGTTTTTTTAATATTAATAAAATATTTTTCTTTTGCTTGGAATTAGTAGTTGCGTATGTGGCATTCACTATATCTTATGATTTTGCTATTATTTTTCATAAACTAACTCATGATTGTAATTTGTGTTTACTCAAATATAATTGAGTTTTTGGCTAGCTTATGCGAAAGCGTCCACTCAAACACCGCACGAGCTATTACGTACTTGAGCTAAGGATGTAATCTATAACAGTTGGTATTAAAGCAGATTTTAGAGCACTAGCGATGTAACACTAAAGATAATGGACCCTTGTTTTTTTAAAAAAAGCATTTTATTAATCACCTCACCACAATGCCATTTTGAGTCTTGAGCTTGGTGTTAAAAACTCTCCTGGCATAGTTGGTTAATGAGGAAAAGAGAACCTCAACAATTGTCCAGAGAACCCCACAACCATAACAAAAATGGAGGCTTCACAAAAAAAAGAGCAAAACCTAGGACTTACCCAATGCTAGGAAAACATAATGATAGAGAACAGAAACTAGCAACTAGCACATACAACTTTGCCACGTAAAACACCAAAATAGTCATCAAATAGACAAGTATCCTTAGCTAGAGGGAGTGCAGTACCCTGAAAGCATCTCGAGCAAAACAAAAACATCGGGCAGCCTCTCAAGCACCAAATGTTGTAACGTGTGACGTTGGAAAATTTTAAAGTTTGGGAGTCGTGTTAATCTTTTTTTTGTATTTAGATGTAATTAGTTACCTATTAATTCTGTTTTAATCGACAAGGTTCTAAATTGATTTTAGATTCATTGAAAAAATAATAAATTAGTCTACAAATTTTAGAGTTAGGGTTCAGGAGTTTGGTTATACACGAAGAAGGATTAACACCTTGTGATGCCTATTCCACAAATAGTATCATTTAATCCTATGTTATTCTATTTTAGCCTTAACTTTTGATTTTATCCTTATGTTTCCTTATATATCTTTTTAATTCTTGATTTTTCATGTCTTTTTTCTTCATAATCTTTTTTTTCTAATTTATTATTATTAATTTTATTATTATTTTTAAACCTAAAGTTTGATTTTTCGATTTTACGAATACACATAATGTAATTATGAAATGATGTCATAATTTACTGATTTTAAATAATGGGAAGTGAAAACCTTGTATCATAAAATTATTCACAGATCATACCAATGTTTTGGGGAGGTTTAGAAGTTTTCCTCACCTAGGGATGTTCTTGAAAGAATTCATCTCTACAAGTTTTCGAGAAAATCCCATCGTCAAAGTTCAAGTCCCATTAACAAAATAAACATGTAATATGCAATGTCAAAATAAAATTATGAATGATATTAGATGAGCACGTTTATGAATATAATTTTGTTCCATAATATATTTAATATTTTAATATAATTAAACACCTCATTTATTTTTTTTATATATCTTTTTTAAGAAATGTTCTATTTAAATCGATAAGTTTTAATTAATATTATGAGTTAATATATTTTATTAAACTATTTTTCATTAAATAAACAATTGATCTTTAATTTGCAACAATTGTTTGAATTAATTAATAATTATATCAATTTTAATTTTAGATGCAATATTACATGAATTTATTCTGGTAATTGCTTGAATTAATCAAAATATTGGAATACAAAATTAACATTTATCCCGATACTTCAGAGAAAACTCTAATTGAATTCCGTTCTTAGGAAAGCCATCACGAAAATAGCAACCTTTTACCTTTTTAACTAAATTTCCATCATCAGAATTAATTCAAATAACCACTCTATTTTTATATTTATAACTTTATATTATATCATACTTTTACTTTTATATATACTTATATAATTTTGTATAGCTAAATATGTCATTTCTATTACCTACTTAACTTTTTTTTATTTATGATTAAATATATTTTATTTCTCTTCTATTTTCTTTCATTTAATAAAGTCTATTTCTTTATCACTAGGTATTTTTCATTTTTCAATTCAAATATCTTTTTTAACTAAACATTTGTTTATTTTCTATATTTTTACCTTAACTAAGTCTATCACCATAAGTATATTTTTTATTTAGACATTTACTTTCTATCCATATATATATATAGACACACATATTCAACTTACCTAAATCTATTCTTCTTCTTTTTTTATAACTAAATATTTATCTAAATTTATATTCTTTAATAGTTAAACATATTTTAAATATTTTTGTTATTTTTGTTATTATTATTTTTATATTTTTTGTTTATTTTAATTTCCTAACTTTATTTCTAATATTCATGCTACAAACACATTTTCTCCTATTTCTAATATTCATACTACAATACAAATTTATTTATTTTATTTTATTATTTTTATATATATTATTTTTTAAAAAAAACTATATTAAAATGCTCAAAAATAATTCCAACATCAAAACCAACATTAATATGCAAACCCAAATAGTCCAAGGTCTAAGACCTACTATGATACAACCCAAACTACAAGATCCAAGGTCCATACCTAGCTTAGGCTCATAATAGCCCAAGGACTTTGAGGCTTCTCTTCAAGCGTGGACTCATATATGCCTATTTCACAAATTTCCCAAACTTAAAACGTAAATTGCGTTCGATACTTTACAATGTAATGTGATTATAAGTAATGTAATTACAAGTAATGTAATTATAAGCAATGTGATTGTAGGGAAAATAACATTACAGTATTTAATATGCAATCAAAATAATGATTAAAATGTAAAGAAAATAACATCACAACGTTTGATTTATAAGTACTCTATTGAAAATGTAATGTTAATTTTTAAAATTACCTTTAGTTTTTAAAATATAAGTTTAATACATTTATATTTTTTATTATTAATTTTTATATAATA